TAATCATTCTCACATCTCCTTGAATTAGCTAGAGTTACGGCTCGAAGTGCTGATAGGTTTTCAGATTCAAGCTTTAATTGCTTATTTAGCTGCTCATATGATGTATTCTACGATAGCTCAGATGGCAAGGCAAGCGGCTGGTGATCGGAAGGTCATGGTTCGAATCCCATTTAACGACATGTGTGTGTGTATGTATGTATGTGATAAATTCGACAGAAATAATGTGACACAACAATCACTAACGAGAACAACCCTGCTCGTGCCGTTCTTATTTTCGGATTAACTATCCCGTAGTTGAATAATCGTTTAATAAATGTATAATGATGTAATAATTAAACATTGTTTCACATGAGAATCAAGCGTCTATATACACCTTTATACCATCGCTGTTTAAGGAAGTACAGATGTCTAATAAACGCTGAATAATCAAAAATTTGGTCAAATAAGCTCTGTTACAACTTTTGTAAGTCGAATAAAAGCTTTCTAGACATACCTTATTCAACACCAAATATTTCGATGTTGTGGTTGAATAAATTCTCCAGATTTGTGTGAACAAAGCCTGAACAGAAGTTATTATTAAAAATAGTACAAGTATTATTAAGCATGAAGTGGAATAAAATCGTCAAGAAGTCGTTTCTTCAATAGGCAATTGTTTGTTGGGTACTGCTCTAATTACATTAATTACACAATGTAGAACATTAACTACTTTTTAACTCCATGAATTACAGTTGAAATTTCGTAATTAAAGTACATTAATTACATTTTCAATACTTTTAATTACAATAATTACGGATAGATAATTTTAATTACTGTCAGTTCTACTTCAAAACGCATTAATTACTTTAAGTACTTTTGATTGCATTTTAACTTCAACGCACCATCAAAAAAAATTAACTGATGGTTCATGATTATTTTTGGGTTCCATACGATGGGTAAGATTCTCGGTAAGATTAAAATTATTCTAATTTTTGGCGATTCTGAGGTTAACATGTTTAGCGCTTCCTGGTGGTTCAACCGGTTAGTGGTTCTCTAGGTGTGCCGAATTGCGTGGACCTCTACATACAACAGGCAATGTTAGTGAATCAGAGGAACATCTGGAAGTCGATACAGTAGTACATAAACTATCCAATTCCGTGGCAGTTCTGCAGTCCTGCGTTGGCTTGCAGAGGTTTCACCTATTTTCACGAATGTTTTCTGTTATCATAGAGATTTTCGAGTTCAAGTGCGCAAGGTGAAACGGAGGACGATGACACAAGCAAGTTGACTTACTGGTGAGATCAGCAATTTTGGAATTTCGTTTTATTGACTGTTCAGTAAATCATAATTAAAATTGAAAACTTGGTACTCTATTTTACTGAATTTGATGATTAATAGAGTCCGACCTGTACTATCAAGAAGATTCATCAGACAAAGGCATTGAAATAGAATGTAAGTATATAGTTTTGATCACTAAGCGAAAATCGATTATTTAGCCGGTGTGTATTTTACTTCCCACCTTCCTTACTGACGAGTAAGTCAAGGAATTGACGAACCCGTAAAACACTCTAATTTCTAGTGTCTAGTATCATTGTGATCGACATTAACACACAATATAAAAATGCAAAAATATGACAGACTCTCAATTATTAAACTATATTTGTATTTATTTAGAAGAACGTTAGCCTGCAGTTTTACACTTTTTATCAGATCATGGAAGCTAAATGAGGACAGACTCAATGTTTACGTTGGAACATAGCTAGAAAAGAGGAACAGAATGCTAGAATATTTACAATCACATATGATATATTTACAAAGACAAATATATTTTTTAAATACTCAAACTAACTATCATTCTGATCTGGCGCATTCATGAATTACTATATCGTCAATTACGGCAGTAGGAATAGAAAATTTGACAGTATGAACATTAATTCGCCCACGTATCAAGTGACGCGGGTTCTCACGTAGGTTTAAACTATTAGCAACACTGTGTTATTAGTTATTCAAATAAAGTAGCATATTAGGTGCAGTAAGCTAAGCCTGAAACCGCATCTAAGGCAAAACCTGGTAAAACTAATTTTGTGCTAATTTGAGTTTAATGTTTAGCCTTATAATGTACAGCTGCTATAAGCAACATTGCAGTCTCCACAGGGTTAACTTTTTTTTTATATGTCAGCAAATTTGAAAAGACCGGCTCTTGTTCCACTTGATAGGAACAGATAGGAACTTTCTGAAATGACATATAACGGTAAATTCTACTCTACTCTCTACTAAATACCAAGAATAAACAATCAATTAGTATGCTTCATCATGAACGCGGCTCCAACATACCGGTCCACAAAATATTTATTTCAAATTTTTAACATGAAGCTGACTTACCTTGGACCGCAATAAATATTTGAATTTTTAAAGCGACTTTTTTATGATTGCACTCAAGTTACAAGAGATTCGCAAAACTTACACAGAAACACACAGTTGTATGTAAACATACGTAAATTTATTTAGTAAAACATCATTTTGGAAGATTTTTTGACTGTGACTTCTACCAGAAGCTTCTGAGTTGTCTCTGTCTGATTGCTGTTTTTTTTATCTTCACTTCTTGATTCCCACTGTCATCCGAGAATGTGACATGTAACCAATGAGTACAGAGAGAGGTAAAGCAGATCGTGAAATATTGTTGTATTAGTAAACCAAAAAATCAACGTAAACGCAAGTAGTGACATCACTAATTGCTTGTATCGTACAGGGGTTTTACTCACACAACTTAACCGATTGCTTCACCTCTGTAATCCAGTTCATTGACATGTAACATTCGCATGTTGTGTCAGCTGCAGTGACGCGCAACATGCAGAAGTTGTACGGAAGAACAATTCGACACCTATCAGTGTACCTAATAGTGTACCTCAAAAGTATTCATCCGTAATATGACATTCTTTTTTCTTAAAAAAAAAAATCTGGGATTAAGACATTTAAGCAAAATTTCTGTTTTCGTGTTTTTTTTTTATTACAAAATAAGCATCTCAGCCAAATTGGTGAATATTAGGAGGTGTTTCAAATCAATTCAGCGATTCATTGGTGATTTTAGGTTATAAAACCGTCATGTAGCTCAGCGTATCCTCTACAACGGTCTCAAAGAAAGCATGTATGGCCGACTAGTGTGTGGGCAGGCCAGTGACAAGGCCTATACCAACAGCAGCGTTTGACAGTAGGCAGCATGTCCCGGGCTCAAATCGTTTATTTTGCTGTGCTGGGCCCGCTGTCATGGTATAACATGTTGCCTACGCGCCTGCCACTGGGCTGTGTGTGGGTCACTTCTACTCACTTATCAATAATTGGCGTTGACGGCACCGTCGAAAAGCCGTCTCTTCTAGCAAAGATTGACAGCTTCTTATGGGAATTTTCGGTGGAGTGAAAGGATAGTACGATGTCCGCCATGTTTCACGCACAGTCTGATGTTTGCTCATGGATTTTACCATAGGACTAAAGAACTACAGAGTCGCAATCAACACCAATAGACAAAAATGGCACAACTGATGGCGTTTTCGTTTTTACTATACCACACCGGTGTAGTGTAAGCAGCAATAAGCGTGAGTCATTGACAGCCCATCATCATTTGTTTGTAAACAAAGGTGCAACCGATAGCTACACCCTGAATTTTATCGCTAAACGGCGGTGTAACACCGGTGTAACTACACCGCAAAAACGAAAATGACATGAGTAACTATTCTTTATCAGAGGCGATGTTATAGACTTCTCTTACGTTTGCGAATTGCACAAGTATTACTGCAGAACTTTGGGTGAATTCAAAGGTTTTCTTGCACTAATACTTATATAACTACTTTTTAACTCTATTAATTACAGTTGAAATTTCGGAATTAAAGAACCGACGAACCGACGTAACAGCTCATAGAATCTACTTTCAAAATCTTCACACAGAAAAATTGATTTTTGTTTCAGGGCCTAATGTATTTTGTTATTGATTCAAACATATTGTATCACTATTTCAACAAAACATATTTTTGAATCAACAAAATGGTTTTTAAAATCAACAAACAGATTATTGACTCTACAACCGATTTGTTGATTCAAAAAATATTTTTCTTAGAATTAACCGAATAATATATTTGAAACAAGGGGCGACCCCGGCGTAGTGGTTAACATCCATACCTCTCACGCCAAAGTCACGAGTTCAAATCTCACCCCCGGAAAAGTCACGAATGACCCAAGAGTGTTAAAGTGACTTTAACAATAAAAAAAAAATATTTGAAACAATATTAAAAATATATTAAGCCCTGAGTCCAAAATATATCCATTTGAATTTAAAAAACTGAGTTACTTCACTTTTTGCAATTATGATTCGATTCGACTCAATTTTGAGTGTTGTGTTTGGCCGTGTTGTAGAAGCGATGTTTTGCATATCATTATTGATTTTTAAGTTTTCTCGTAAAATTGATTCGTTAACAGATTCGAGCTATTAAATTTGATTTTCAGGAACTATTTCCCAGCTCTATAATGTAACACATAAATTATTATAAGAAAATGTTCAGTAGAATGTGGGGAACATTTTCTTCTTCTTCTTTCTCGATGGTCAGTGTATTTTGACACATGAGCCTAGGGATGGGGGAACATTTTAACATGTTGTTCATCCCCAATATCCATAGAAAATACTGGCGGTAAGCTCCAACTTGGATTAACTTTTAATACCGACCCTATTTAGATGATCTGCAGAGGTTTTGCTCAGAGTCATGATGATTAACTCTAATGTCGACATCAAATTTTACTCGTTTAATGGGTAGTCCAAGTTTCCCAGGACATCTGGCGTCTTTTTATTCTTCGTTGCAGGTTCATTAATCGCTTCTGCAGTCCATATTGAAAATTATTCGTGCTAAACAAATGCAAGTAGTTCTGGCAGTAATGTTGTACACATTAAAAAAAAAATAATACAATCTTAAACTTGAACATCAACCAATCAGCGACTGAATCAAGCGGTCACCGTGCAAAGTTTGTAGAGGAAACATTATTAAGCTTTGAAGGTTTGATAACTTTTGCTGAAGTTTTGAAGTTTTGATTGGCATGACGCACCTTTTACTCTTGATGAGTTTTGCTGATAAAATTTCAGTGAAGCAGGAATCTTGCGTGACTTGGTAAATCCCGGACTTTTTTGTTTTTACGGCGCATGCATTTACAAAAAAAAATCAAACTTTTTGTTTGGCAAAACTAGCTTCTACGGCTCCTTCCAGTTGCAACAGCAATCGACGAAGATGTTTGTCTTCACCGCCACCCCGCAAGCGCTCTGTTTCCGTAAGCTCCGACCGAATTGTCGATATAATTGATTTTATAAATTCCGGATTTCTGTCGGCCAGATTGTACATAAAACGGAAGTAACTGCCAGTCTCCATAGGGAGGTTTTTCTTGGTAAACGACGACAGACAGTTTTTCAGTTCCAACTTAATGAGATTGGAGTTGTTGTGGGTGCAATCAAGCATGTTGAAAACGAGCTCGGAGGCGATGACTTTGCTCGGGAAACTGTCGTGGCATATCATCGCGTGGTCCATGATGGTAGAGGCATTCAATCGAATAAAAAGTGCTATCTTTCCGTTGTCCTGGGTGCTCTGTAAACATCCCAGGAGGTACAGGAGCATTTTCATACCGCTTTCAGCGTTTGCTTTGGGCAGGGCACCCTGCAGTTCAACGTACGCGAATAAATATCTACAATACAAGAATGTAATTAGCACTTAGTAAGTTAACAATTGATTAGATAAATACAAGTTACACATACCTGTTGAACGCGAATGTTATAAAAGGCTCATTATGTGACGAGAAAAATGTAACAAACGGCCGGGCGGCATCGTTCTTGTCTTTGAATTTGGAAAATTGAGGAGCCCATTTCACCATCATGTTCGTCACGTGGTCGCTAATTACTGGATCGCTTGTATAGTTCATTTGTCCCACAGCATCCATTATCCGATGCCACACTTTTCCCATCGCCAGAATTACATCGTTAGAGACGTTCCGGTCCGTGAGTACGGTTATTGGCAGAAAATACTGATTGAACGCCACATGATACAAGCACGTCGGATTGCTTTTGATGTATATGGCAGATCCACATTCCTTCAGGGCAAGAGCTAGTACTGTCATCACTCTCCTCAGTATAACCACACTAGGATTCGTAATCCATTTGTCGAAATGTTGAAACAATGCATGCAATTTGATTGTAATATCGTACTGCGCACGGTTGTCCTTTCCTTCGAATTCCCTGTACTTCTTCCCGACGAATTTGAAAAACAATCCTATCGGCTCCTCGTCTCCATCACAGAGATCATATTCTGGAATCTCACAAAGCGATCGGAATTCCTTCATTCTGTTAACTGCCTGTGAAAGATCACGCAGCTGTTCTCGACCGTTCAACAGGGCAAACTTCAACCAACTTCGCACGAGCAATTTTTCCTCTATCTCACCAATACGATCACTCTTTACGATGAGCTTGATGTAATGTAGTCGCAGGTTTATGTCGGCACCGACGTTATCTACAAAGTAGGTAAACATGGCCATGAATGGCGTAGCATATGACTGCCCGGTGGAGAACAAAGTGAAATGGGCCGCAAGGTCCGCAATGAGTAGGCACGGGTTCGTTGGTTGGTTGAATGCATCCTTCACATAGGGGAGTACAACCTCGTACAATGGTTGCAGATCGTCGCTGTTATTATCGACTCGACAGAGCTGTTTGGACCGGAAACAATCAAATAAGCGGGCGAAAACTGAAAACGACAACCAAGTCAGCAACTATTCAGTGTAAATCAAAATGTACTTACTATCTAACACCGCATCTCTTTCGCCTTCCGAACACCTATTCAGGTACTTCCCCAGCCAAGCGCCAACAAATTTCTCTTCTCCTTTTTCAAACTCTCCCTTGGAAATGGCTCTGCCGTAGACGACGCACATTCCTTCGGCAAGCACGTGCAACGAGGGCTGCAACCGGTCCCCATACTTTCGACAAGCTTCGTCTAAACTTTCCAGGAACTGTTGCAGATGGTTTGCCTTATCGTAACCTCGCTGATTGAATGCTATAATGAGTGCCATATTCACCAAGACTATCGTAGTTATGCGACGAATCGTAGAATCTAGTATCGCCGAGGGGCTCAGCTGATCCAACTTGAACTGCAGTAGCTGTTTCGATAAACGAAGATAGTCATCCTGATAAGGAGTTGCTTCCATCATAGTGAGCATCAACAGCGAGAAGTTATAGATACCTTGTTCGGTCATGGAGTCCAGCTTTACAGGAGCCATTTTCAAAATAGTGCGGTTGAAGAGTATCTGTACTTTTGTTTTCTGGTTACTCTCAGAATAATGACGCAGCATAAAGGCGATCAGAGTTAAATAACACTTGTAGCTGGATATTTTCGAATCGAGGGCATTGAATGCTTCTTGACTAGCTCGGTAATTAGCTTGCTCGATAAATCCAGTTGGTGATCGATTTATACAAGCAAGCTTACTCAGGGCTTCAGATGGCAATTGGAATGGAGAATTAAGTCGCTTGTTGAAGTAATCCCACAGCGTAACCAGGAAATCGTGCTTTATTGGCCACCATTGACAGTAAATGGGCTTGAGCAGCAATAGAAAAGCCCTCAGCTGCTCTTCTGATTTTTCTCCTTGTATAACTTCCTTAATTGCTCTATCCAAAATTGTATAATCCGCACTAATCCGAATAACGGGAGTTTCCTTTAAGCTGACATTATCCAACATATGATATTGATATAGAGATGCTATTCCACTCATCATCCAAGTTTGGAACAAGAAGTCATTCGCCTTTGTCAAAGCAAGCCCGTGCATTTTATTCTGCTTCCTGGATACTTCTTGTTTCTCCAACTGGACCGTTTCTAGAGCTTTTTGCAAACAATTCCAAAAATCCAGCTTGTTACTTTCACTTTCAGACAACGTCATCATTGCTATCCACATTTTCCTCGTACAAGGGCAGTAGAACTGATTTTCGGTTGGTAACTCATCTTTTCCAATTTTGTTATATTTCAGCAATGCAAGCCGAACCAGACTAACGAGCACGTCGAGATATAGCCCTTCATACTCTGGCAAAGCCATCCCAACTTTCTGCATTTCAAAGTTTAGCAGCAATCCCAACCACCGCCAATCCAACACGGCATGCAAGAATTCGTAGCTTACCAAGCTCAACTCCTTGATCATCACCATCCCAGCATCTTCCACGACACCGATGAAGTCCGGTAAACTATCCTGCAGCGTAAAAATCGCATCCAGCAACTCTTTCTCGTTGAACTCCACAATCTGCCCAAGGATCACCCGGAAAAGCATATTGACATCGGATCTTTTTCTTCCGCACTCGGAATCTCCCAAATCACGGCGAACTTCATCAACTGCTAACTTTCCGATAGTGTCCCGAGCTGACCTTACCAACTGCTGTAGCAACTCTTCGTCCATGTAGTAGAATTCGATTCCAAACAGCTGAACCGGCGAATCTTCAACGGATGACATCGGAACGGAATAGTTCTGTTGAAACCTATCCACATCCACTAGCTGACGGACATCGTCACCCACAAAACGGGAAATCTCCACAAAACTTTGTTTGCAATTAAACATTTTGTTATTCTAGAACTAAGCCATATAGCAATTACAAAACTATAAAATATAATAATTATTCAGAGCGTAAACATTTTTTGCACCGATTGAACTTGGCGCGAGAAACTGATGTGTAGCACAAGCTATCACAACATAAACAAACCTCTCAAATGTTTCGAACAATAAACAAGCGTAAAGATGTGGGCCATCTCATTCATGAGCGCCGAAATGATAAAAAGGCCTTTTGACTGGGAGTCGGATATTATTTTCTGTATTAATTCTCCAATCAAGATCTTATCACATCTGGTGAATCACACGACTTACTGCTGTTCAAAGCCTCGCGCCTTCTTGCTGCTAGTGATTTGATTATTAGTACACTCAGGTCCTTTTTTACACGGGGGATACGTACCGTGTAAAAAAAACTACGAGATTCTGATTTTTCACATGTTTAAATGTTTTAAAAAATCGGATTTTGATGCCATTTGTAATTATAGCATGCTATGGTCCATATAGACATATTTTAAAAATGTTTGTATTTACACCAAAAATTGTGATTTTGAGGTATGCCATTCGATTACCTATAGCTTGAAACGGATAATGTGATTGGATTCAACACAGCAAAAAAAAATGTAATATCGATCAACGTAATTCAAGCTGATGTATGAAATAATGATGTAATAGCAAAAAGCAGATACAATATTACATCAATGGATGTAATTTTGTTCGCAAAATCGATGTACATCGTACAATGTGATATTACACAACCGATGGATTGACCTGGTTGCAGCAGTTTCGATGTAATATTCAACAACTTTTTTTGCTGTGAAGTCGATAGGTTGTATCCTCGGTTGTATCATTATCGAGAAATCGTTAAAAACACCGTGTAAATCGCGAAAAATCGTGTAATAAAAACCGCATAGCAAAAATCGTTTAAAAAAGACTACAGTGCATAAGGTTTAGAAAATTTGAATAATTATTAAACATCATCTTCAAATTTTTTAAACAAAATCTACAAAATCATTTTAAAATATACCCCTCCAAAAGGCATTCGATCCCACCGGGGCGGCCTTTGTGACATTAGTGACTTTTAGCCGGAAGCCAGTGCAGCCAACATATGTTGACAGCTGAAATCCCTCAACATAACCTTTTCCTTGTTATTCGTGAAGTTGACAGTACGTATCGACAAATTTTCCTCAAAAAATTGTAAAATTTCGGTGAAAACTTAATAATTTTCAATCAATTCGCAAAGTAAAGTAATTCCAGCGTAGCCATTGATCTTAGTATCGTGAATTTCAAACGAACTTGTTTGAATATTTTGTGTAATTTTCGTTTGAAATTTCCAAACAAAACGCTTGCTAGTTGGATGCTGAATTGAAAATTGATGGATCTAATGCGGCTTGCGTTGAATATGAATTGCTAGTGTCGTTTCTAATTGATTTCCTTTCATCATTTCAGCATCTGGTCCGCTCACAATACCAATAAGCTAACAAAATGACCAACTCGAAGGGTTATCGTCGTGGTACCAGGGACATGTTCTCCCGTCCCTTCCGAAAGCACGGTACCATTCCACTGTCCACCTACCTGAAGGTCTACAGAGCCGGAGACTACGTGGACATTAAGGTGAGTAGATTATGGAACGTATTTGTTGGTGAAAGTGATTCGGAAATGTTCCGAATGGGTGTACGAAAAGTTCACCGTTAACCTCTTAGCTATGCTCCGAAATTGATCTTGTTCGGTGATTCCGAAGAAAAAGTAGGTGGCAGTGAGGAACAACGTCTGCCGTATGTTGCATCAAGGTGTAATTGCAAAACTGTAATGTTTACACATTTCATCTAAAAGTTCAGGGTAAAAGAAAATACTTCCCTACCCACCTGCGAGCTCCGATTGTGAATTGGATGTTTGTTTACAAAATCAATGCAGTTACTTTTTAGACACAAAAATAGTTAGGCATAGGATGGGTCTAATGTTGGCCTATGGATTAATAAGATTGGTCCCATTGCTAAAAATCTGCTATTTATCAATTTTATCTAGATGAATGCGTCATTGGGACGGTACTAATGGATATTTTGGTCGCTATTGAAAATTTAGTCGATTGCTGAAATTAGGGGCATTTTTTTAGGCCGGCATTACATCCATTTCCCCTATTTCGTAAAAATTAAAAGCTGTCGTTCTTTTAGATGCTCGTGGTTTGTAGCTAAGCCAAAAGCTGAGAAAAATGTTTACTTACACTTTGTGCAAGCTAAGTATTTTTAACTAAGCGATCATGGAAATATTTTTCCAAACATGCTAAATTTGAATACTGGTTATATAAGGATTGCACGGTTCTTCGTCATTTATGGTGGTAAGTTCCAACCGGGTTTATCATCGGATTAAATCCCTATGAGGAATGCAGAACTGCTTGGATGTCGATGTCGATCCTAAACAAACAATATTTGGCAGATCCTCCAAATGAGGGTCAGTATTAAAAGTTGTCCGTTTGCGTTGAAAACAATACTCTTCAGCTAACCTTTCCTAATTCATTTCCTAGATCACATGTTAGGCAAGGCCAGGTGCCCAGTTGTGTGCCGTTCATTCGTACCTATGTCAAAAATATGTCGATGCGAGCTTCACGTCACTCGCTATGGACGCATTGTTTAACTTGCTGGTTTATGGCATCGCCACCACACCAGTTGACGCCTTGCCTTACACGGAGAAAAAATAGTATCCAAAATTTACTTAATATTGAATTTAGCCTCTCCTTGCACTCTTTATTGTTGTCAAAAAAGGAACAAGAGATTCAACCCCACGGTATAGTTCAGCCCAATAAGTTACTTATGAGTAAATTGCATATTCTCAAATTTACGTGAATTAAACTTAATTTTGGGTAGAATATACTTCAGAGTAGGTAATGTTTTTGCTGGTGTTAAATGGAAACTACTATACGCGATTTACTCAAATTTGGGTTATTGGGCTGAACCCCGGAATTGAGGGAAAAGTACTTAATTTTGGATAGTTTTTCATCTCCGTGAGTACGATTATAATGTTAAAACAGTACTAGAGAGCATAGAATGATCGATGGTCTGTGGGTACATCTGATGAACTAGAAAAACGCTAGTGTCGCAAAAACTTATTGAGAGTAGGGTAAGGTGGGTATTAATAAGTTAGTACAGTTATTATTTTATTTGTTTGTGAATATCAACAGGTTCAATGCATTGTGGTCAGAGGTGTTAACGACCAGTGCTGCAAAATCTCGACAATACATAGCGATATTCAAAATTCTGCTATGGTCATTCATTTGAGCTAACAGTCATGGTCAAGGCAAACCATGTCAACTGTCAGTGATGAACATATAGAGATATTTTATTAGCTAAATTTGATACGAAATTAAATAACTTGAGCAAAATAATTACATGGAGCCGTTAAAGCGAACAAGTATCTACGTACTGAACTGCCAGGTGTGGGAGCTGCCTCCATGGCGTCGGTAGCATTGGTGCTCAGCACGGAAAACAAGATCGACGGAAAACAAACCAAGGAAAAAAAAATATCACGCGAAAGTCTATCAGTGACATTGACAAATCTCAACACCGAATGAGACTTACTTACACAAAAATGTCACTATGAAATCGTGTGTGGCGAAAATGTCACATTTTTTCTCCATACAATTTCCATGACATATACCACCTCTGATTGAGATTACATTGAACCTGTTGATAAACAAAAATATAAATAAATCAAGTAGACAGCCCCATTTTGCCCTATAAACCTTTACTGTGACCTAAGATTACCAGTTCTACGTCGAAGGAGAAGTCTCTTTTGTAGCTACAATATCGTTGAACCAAAGGGTTTTGCCTTTTGCTACAACTCAGTTTATGTTTTATTGTTGTTTTACATCAATACTGGGCTGGATGAAGCCCCAATGATGTTATATAAAAAAATAGTTATTGTTGTTTATTGTTTATTGAAAAATTCAACTGACAAATACTGTCTAAATGAATAAAACTTAAACTAAATAGTTACGGTCAACGGTACGGAAAAGGCCAAGTAGCCGATGACGAAACACGTCAGCTGATACATTGAAGTCGAACATATAAAAAAAGTTGTTGAATTGCCGGCTGATTGCTCGAATTGGCTCGTGTTGTGTATAATTCCGGCTCCGTGGTTCCAAAAACAGAAAGTCGCGTTGACGAAGAGACCTCTCAGGGGCATACATATTTAGTTGTGACAGCAGTGTTGGGCAGTCAATGTCAGCTTTCCAGCGAACATAGCTTGAGCGACCGTCCGTCTCACCTCTAATGGCTCGATTCCCAGGAGACGGCAACGCTGCTCGTACGGTGGCAAGTTCGTTGGGTCACGCCAGTTGAGGAAACGAAGAGCATATCTCACAAACTTGCGTTGAACGGATTCAATTCTAGTGATCCAGCTAGCATGGAAAGGGCACCAAACAACTGAACTTGACTCCAATAAGGATCGCACAAGCGAGCAGTAAAGTGACCCGAGACATAGCGGGTCACGAAACTCGTCGGCAATTTTGAAAATAAAGCCCAATTGTCGATTAGCTCTGGAGATGATGTCATTGTAGTGGATTCTGAAAGTGAGTCTGCAGTCCAAGGTAACGCCGAGATCCTTTATGTGCTCTACACGAGCAAGACAGCGTCCGTAGAGAACATAGTCAAACATGATTGGTTCAATTTTTCGGTGATATGAAATAATGTTACATTTTTCTATGCTTATACCCTGGACAGACTATGGTTTATATCATGTAATATAGGCTGTCTTGCAATGAGCACTCATACATCTAGTTTTCACTGGAAATCCTATATACGAGTGCTCATTGCAAGACAGCCTATATTACATGATATAAGCCATAGTCTGTCCAGGGTATTAGACTCATCAAATTTCTTGAGCACCAGTGAGCAAAAATACCTAACATATTCTGGAGATCCCAGCAGTCCGAGAGGCTTTTAATAATTTTGTAGATTTTCGTATCGTCTGATGTAAATGATGATCAGTAAATAGCTCCTAACGAATGTTTCGCTCTTTTCAGGGTCATGGTGCCGTCCACAAGGGTATGCCCTACAAGGCGTATCACGGTAAGACCGGCCGTGTGTACAACGTCACCAAGCACGCTCTCGGTGTCATCGTGAACAAGCGCGTCCGCGGCAAGATCCTAGCCAAGCGCATCAACGTTCGCGTCGAACACGTCAAGCCATCGCGTTGCCGTGAAGATTTCCTGCGCCGTGTCAAGGAAAACGACGCGCTCCGCCACGAGCTGAAGCAGAAGAACCCGAAGGCCAAGATCTGCCTGAAGCGCAAGCCACATCCAACACGGGGCGAGCAGGTCATCGTGAACCCACCAGAGCCAGTCTTCCTGGCTCCGATCCCGTACGAGTTTGTTGCATAAGAAGGGAAAACTTGAACGGCGAGGAGTGAGTGTACATCTTTAATAAAAACAAATTTAATTTAAAGGTAAATATTTGATGTAATGAAAATTTGTCCGAACTTCTTTGGTGACAGAAAATAGGCACGGGTTCAAAGATGGTGCAGGCATGTTTAATACCCCGTACAGACTATGGCTTATATCATGTAATATAGGCTGCCTTGCAATGAGCACTCACACATAGGATTTCCAGTGAAAACTAAATGTATGAGTGCTCATTGCAAGACAGCCTATATTACATGACATAAGCCATAGTCTGTACTTGGTATAAGGTACATATTTAATGTTAAACATGTTTTCGTTGACCTTTGTTTGGTGATTGCGATTGCAAAGCATACCATTTCGAAGGCAACAAGTTTGAATCCCGTTAAGATCTTCTCGGCATTACTCATCTTGATTTGCAATTTGCTATATTATCTATGAACTTATTTCCCTTACTGGACCATAAATAAATATTTATTTATTTATTTAACAAACGGACGAACGACGACGATATTCCCGCAGGCTACGCTCATTGACAACTACTTTCATTACGCTTACAATAGTCGACACAGAACTCTGTAACAATAGTGGTGTAATATGGCCATATGGGGCAAGACGAGCATCGTCTGTAAAACACAACTTTTGACAGTTAATTTGGCAGAAAAGAGTAAACCACTCCACTAGTAAGGGGCTGTTCATTAACTACGTAGACAATTTTTTTTTTATTCTTGACCTCCCCCCCCCCCCCCTCTGCGTCTACAATTGTCCATACACAAATTTTAAAATTTGTATGGGGCGTGGATAATTACCCCCCCCCCCCCCTCCCCCTTCATGAACTGTCTACGTAGTACATGAACAGCCCCTAAGTTGTTATGCAGTGTACGGCAAAATATACGGAAAAAATACATAGCGCTTAACACTATGCATGATTTATGGTAGTGTTGGCAAAACTAGCAAAAATAAATAAATATTATTTTAATGTTGCAAAATAAGTTTTAGTGACCTTTTCTTTCTGATTCGAACATTCCATACAATACAATAACATAATGTTACCTTGTTCAATATTTAAATTTCAATAGATTTGCTTTTATTAAATTATATTATTAAGTTTCAAATGAGATGAGCATCATAAATTTATAAGGGTAACAATGTCCAAAATTCATCCCATACGAAACAAAACGGCAAAAGTGATCAAGTGGGCGGCATGATAGTTTAACATAAAGCAGAGTTGTTAAGACTAATTTAAAAAATATTAGCTTCCAATAAAATTTCATGCAGCTTATTGAAAGACTGTTTTATTTTAATGAACCTGGAAAAACATAACTTTACCAATAGAGACTTTACACTAGTTACCTATTTGTGATGCGATGTGATGTGAATAGAACCCACCATCAGTGCAAGGATTACCTATGACTGCAGATACTTCACTGGTTGTAAAGTTCTGCCTGATGGTTTGTTGCAGCAGGGTGAATCAACTTCATTGAAGACTTTTGGAAGACAAACGACAAGATGTACGTCTATCAACACGTGACAAGGGACTGGCAAATCCACGAACCCTTGTCCAGTCTACAAATCCGTTGAAACCCTTAGGCTGCCCCCCCAAACCCAGCATATAATAATGTTTGATTAATGAAATGTATTCAAAAAAGGGTTATTTAGAGCGAACAATCTTCAACTGGAACGTACTCACCAAATCAATATATTCGGGAGCGCATTCCCGATGTTTAATTTTCTCTAGTCATTTTTAAACAATTCCTCCTAAAGCGAATCCAACCACACAATAACTAAATATCACTTTTCTTCTTCATGTCACTCTGTGCACGCATCGTGAAAAAGACCAGCCTCGATCCTTCAAGTGTACATTTTCATATTGCACGTTAGCGATGATCAGAGCCAGTTGTCTCACAAAGAGTCGTAGACAGAGATGAATAAGCAGCTTGTGAATAAATGCACTTTGATGTTTGGTTCTGGTAGCAAGTTGGACCCGGATCATCAACCAAATAAAGGGAAAAAACAAAACGACCGACGCAAAATCGACACTGATCACTTCTTGGATGATTGGATATAAGTTTTGGCACATACTTTAAAGTATTTTGAAACTATAATTCAGGCATAACATTTGATAACGGCACAAAAGCATTTGTAAAAAAAACTTTCTAAGGTATTGGTTTGCGTGGGCGTACTTTGGTTCGCGTGTAGAGGGCCTTAGAAGGTTTGTTTACAAATGCTTTTGTGCCGTTATCAAATGTTATGCCTGAATTGTTCAATTTCCGGAAGGAAGAAGCGCAGCTGAAAAAAACAACACGTCATATTTTCAGCGCAGCCTACATGATATCTTGCGTAAAACAATTTATGACAAACTGTTGTTTCCACATATTTTATTCAATGGGACACCGTTTCTTTTTAATTCATCCAAAATACACACAAATCAATATTGAAAGATATCATCAATTAAGGTTTTGTCAAAACATCTAGTAGCGTAATAAAATACCAAACAGAAAAGTACAGTTTCTCACTGCACGCTGAATAATCTCAAACAATCACTCACTTTACACTAGTTACCTATTTTTCGAAAAAAGGCTACCTCGATACATATAACATAACTTTTGACTTCCATCGACGATTATCGCAAATTATCATTCAAACAAGCAAAGTAATATCAACAATCAATACGAAACTAACGATTTTAAATTGGCTCACTACTTGACTAGCCTATTGGTCCCAAGCAAACGATTAACGTATCCCATTCTAGTCGAAATTCTAGTACTACACAATGTTTGTTTTGATTCGCTATGAAAGTTTGACAGATAAAATGAGGGGTTATTGGATTTTCCTATGTTTCGAGGGGTGAATCATTAGCTTGGGACCAAAGAGAGTACCAGAGCTGAGCCAAAAAGCGGAGCACATTATTTCGGGACCTTCGTGTCTTAGAGTTACCTCTATGGTAATATCAACCGGTCCACACTCGTGTTTATTTCTGTTACCATGGGGACGTAATTTGTGATTAGCGTCGGTCCCTTTCAAATTGTATCATTATTTATGTACGGCCTTAAATTTGAAATGACGTTTCACATTCATCTAGTGATGACCGATTTTCATTCGAATGATAGATTAATCGATTAACGAACCGAAAAGTAAAATATTTGTAATCGGTTATATCATGCTGATATAAGCATTAACTTCTCCAGAGGATCATCATCAATCGTTTCAAACATATAATGCACTCTCATTGGTGGAAAAATGACAGCACAGCGAATAAAAAATAATCGATTGATTGTTAATCGAATAATTAAAAAAATGGGACATCTCTGATTTTGGTGTGATTGTTTTTATAAAAAAAGAGCGCAAAATTTCATCTCTACCGAGGGGGCAGCAAAGCCACAAAATTACCTTGCATACGGGGGGTATTCAGTGGATGAAAGGGACCGTGAAAGAGGACACTAAAATAGAAAAAAAAAATCTTCCAACTGTTTCATCTTAGTATTCTTCTGTAATATCACCATCGGATAGATGAGATAATCAGTGACAGTTTCGTTATATCTAGGTAGGTATACCTAGAAGGTCCCGAAGAAACGTGCTCAACTTTTTGGCTTAGCTCTGGTACTATCTTCGGTCCCAAGCTAATCGATGCACCCCTCGAAACATAAGAAAATCCACGAACCCCTCACGGCGAATGAGAACCAAATTTGAGTTTAGTTCACTCATAATCACCAAAAGTGCAGGAACTCAGCGATGAGTAAAATTTGTCTCATGGTTTCCTGTGGAAAACCTATAAAATCTGCCGAAAAATGAGTTAATTGACGAAAATTTTATTCAGTCTCGGAGCAGTACCAATAGACTGAGTGAATCCAATCTTTACTTTTCTCAAATTCGGGAATTTTTCCCTGGAAAATGCTGGGAAAACATGAGGCAAATGAGTTCCTGCACTTTTGGCAATTATGAGTGAACTAAACTCAAATTTGGGTCGTTCTCATTATATCTGTCAAATTTTCATAGTGAATCAAAACAAACATAGTGTAGTACTAGAATTTCGACTAGAATGGGGTACGTTAATAGATTTACTTGGCACCAATAGGCTAGTCAAGTAGTGAGCCAATTTAAAATCGTTAGTTTCCACCGATTGGTAATACGACATGCTCTAAACTAAGGACACGGGATATACTACAATTGATCAAATAAAAATGTAATATAGGCTGTCTTGCAATGAGCACTCATACATACACTGAGAAAACTAGAATTAAGATTTTTATAATACGTTTCGTATGAACGAGCATTTTGAACTGTGAAAATTTCCATAGCAGGCTTATACAAATTGCACGTCTCAATCATGATTTTCATACGAAACGCGTTTGAAGTTCATACGAGACTACAATGAACTTTATTAGTTTACCTTGTATGAAAAAAATAATGCGTCCACAGACAAACAGACATAACTCTCACAAGTTGTTCATCGAACAAGCATTTAACGGTTAATTTAAAAGTATCTCAGTTGGTAGTACTGCCACCTGTGGCGCGCATAGTCAATTCCCTTGCGTTTGACGTTTACACACTACCGCCATCTGTTCAGCGTACTATAGTATAGTATACCCACCACAGTGTACTCGAAAGATGGCGGTAATGTTTTAACGACGATGTTTTACAATGCGAAATATTCAATGTGTTATGTATGTTTGTCTGTGATGCGTCGTTTGTATGAAACGATCGTATGACGTTTGTTCAAAGCAAAACAATATGGCGTACGAACAGCAATTGTTATCGGATCTCAAGGTTCCGGTGGATGCTTTGCCTGTGTTCAGAGGTAAAAAACGCTAAATTCAGTGTAAAAGGATGTTCCGGGTACAAATTAGCATCTATATTACTATTTAATCAACGAATTTCGACTAAAATTACAGAGTGTGGTGTAAATACGGCAGCCTTAATTACGTGGACCAAGCAAAAGATATTTCAGGCATTGACTCGTGCTAATATAAACTAATATTAAGGTTAAATCAAATAGACAATGCAAATCAAATTATTTAATTGTTTGTTTTACTAAATTAAATTAATTTCACATGAAAAATAAAACAAAATCTGAAGGAGCATAAATATTCACGATTTCATAGTTGATACGATTATATTCCGTATTACACTCATTCAAAATCCATATGAATGAAATATGGTTTTCATAATCATAACAATATTTTCATACGACAGCTTTATGAAACTCATATCAATATATAGCGAAAATCATAAACGATAACGAAGGCGTGCGTTCATAATGCTATCGTATGAAATTCAAAACAAATTCTTTTGGTTAAAATCCATAAGCATTTCGTATGAAATTCGAACGAATTATTTCCTCAGTGTAGGATTTCCAGTGAAAACATTTCTAGTCACGGCAAGTAAAATTGCGGCCCATGTGTCCTAGAGGTTGCCGGTGTGGAAGACGCCTCCCTGGCACTTGATTGGCCAATTGGCAATCGACGCTCGTCGGTGAATTGGCACTCGATTGCGATGACTCGATGACTCCACAAAATGATATCGGTCATTTGTGGGTTCTGCCTATCTTGCCCTTAAATAAAAGGAAAAAAAGGTATTTCGAATATGTCAGAAGAAGAAAATGATGACGGTACTCACTTCTAAACGGCTGTATTTAAGCATGATATCCGAAATAATTTCCGGGCGGTTGACTTGTGTTTGCTTGCTAGTTTTGTCTCACAACTCATGTTATTTTTTTTTTGTTGCAGCAAGTTTACACTTTTTATCTAATAGACATTAGATATCTATTACTACTTGCTTGGACAGATTCTAACATTTTTTGTATCTTTCGTACGTAATTATTAAAGGCTCGCATTCTAACTAAGCGCAAAAATGAATTTGTTGTAAATTTTCGCCAATAGAAAGAATTTTAAAATGAAAACAGTGCTCCTCTGCTGCTCTTTTTTCACCACTAGACATGCTAAACAAGTTGCTATATATTATACTCAAGAATAAATTACTTCAACGACTTTACTTTCCCCTAAAATAAAACAAATTTCTTACTTACGCATGCTTCAGGTTGCATCCCGTGACTGGTAGAATAAAATATAACCTGTTTCTGATGATTTCTGTATGTCCGAAGTAAGACCATAAAAATCTTCTATTGTTGAGGCCTCAATTTTCTAGAACGATCATTCAACATTAGACGCGACTTATTGTTGAATTTCAACTCTCACTTACATCAACCATGTCATCATCAAACAGCAACCAGAATCCGTGACTTTTGACGATACTAATGTAGTGTCCACGATTTGGCCCCGAACCACAATGAATAACCACCGCCATAAGATCATAAAGTCGATCAGGGTTCACGGCATCATCCGACTAGGTAAAAATAAACCATTATTAAGCATGAACCTAAAGCCATCATGTTGAACCATTAATCATACCGTATTGAACAGTCTCAATTCAAGAGGAAACACAACCCTGTGGGAAACTTTTATGTGACGATTATACTGCTCCATATATTTGAACCTTTTGAGATGCAATGCCAGTATCATTGGCAATTTTTTAACTCGCATACGCTTCTGTGCCTCCTGGTAACTGCAGCAATTATCACATTTAAACTTGTTGTCACTGCACAGGGTCTCGGTATTACTGAAGCACCTCAAACAATGTGTTATGCTAGTATTTTGATCGACATCCACTTGCAAATCAAAAAAGTTTTCATCTTTGCTGCTAACAGTCTCACAATTTAAACATCTAGTTTCACTGGTCAATATACCCTGAAATATCTCATGCACCCAGGTGGGTTCTTGCGGTTGTCCCGAGCTGTCCCCATTCAGGCTTCCTCCCAAGCTGCCGATGTTCTTATTACCGCCCGTTGCGCCACCTTTCGCTTGGTTTCGTTCCGCTAGGATTATTTCGTTTATATGGTTGATCAAGAAGTTCAAGAACTCATGTGCATCCTGTTGCATATAATTATCGAATTCTTCTTTCTCCTTCCGCAACCGGGCAATGAATTTTTTCGGTGCGATCGAACCGACCTTTTTCTTCTGAGTGGCAATGCTGTAGAATAGGTCAGCCAAACAGGAGAGCAGCGTTTCCTTCGTGCGCTTATTTTTGGCCTTGTATTCTAGCACCTTTTCCCGAAATGGCCTGCAGAAGTAAAGGGCTTGCAATACTGAATTACTATAGCAGGTGTTGCCAAACTGGAAATAAAATAAACAAATTCGTAGTACCGGTTCCTCAAAGGGATTTAATTCCACTAACATTCACTAAACCGAAATAATGTTCATTAGGAGGGAACTGATCGGCACCGATATCACGTTCAAGCTGGGAAACGTTTGCTCCCTGGAATGAAAGAGAAAGGTCATTTCCATTTGCGTACGAGGCGTCACAACAATGATGCAAAAAGTCACTTCTTACCATTTTCTGTAACAATTAACAACTACCGACGAAAAGTAACATTAAATTATAGTGGTTTGATGCTTTTAAAACTAAATGAATAAACTCTTATGATCTAAAGATCAATTTACACGATTTTTTGTGCATTTTTGCGAAAATTGTATGCACAGCTGATAAAAATTTTCAATGTTGTTTTGAAAGGTTTGTTTCTGACGTCAGAAAATGTCACTTGAAGAGGATGTGAAACACGTAGCTGGTGCTGATGTGCCAAAATGTCAATAAGAAATGGTGCCGACCATCTAGTCAGATTGAAATGTTTCAATCATATTCAGGGAAAATCAGCACTCTAAGCTACGATTACCTAAAATTATAGGTAAAAAATTATCGATATTTTTTACCGATAAAAATCGTTACTTTTTTCTTTACTTAGGATATTTTTTACCATAAATTAGGACATTTTTAACGTTAATTATTGGTAATCCATGATTACAGATAATTAAGGTATGTGCACTTTCTTCGATAATTTTTACCGATATCTAGGTATTCTTTACCGACTTTTAGGTATGTGCATCTTAGCGTGAGGGGCAGGATGTGTACACTCAAAAATATAACTAATCGAAGAAAGATTAAAATTTAAACATGTTATGGTTAAGCAATGTTTATGCATAGATCGGCTTAAAATTTGATCCCATAATTATACTAAGTTCGAATATTGGTGAGGAATTCGTCCAATGTTTATTAAATTGCAACGTTGACAGGATGAAGCTTGCAGTTGTTCGGTTAGCTTTTAAGATTACAATTCAGTTTTTTTTTAGTTTTTAGCAAGGTTCTCAATTTTAGATACTCAGGATCGCTGACATCACCGTGGATTTTTACGGCTGGCCAGCCAGTTGCATGCATCGGAAGCATTGAAGAGCTGGATAAGTAGGTACTCATGTGTGCGAATGAGCGTTCGCCATAGAGCCATCGACCACTTTGAAATCCCGTCGAATTTCCTGGGAAATTCTCCACAGTGATTGCTGGTTCGAGTCCGGTTCGATGCCCGATGCCACACAGAATCACTATCCGAATGCTGCGGATTTCCTAATCAACAGCTTACCGGCTGACTTCATTGGCGAGGGAATCGATAAGACGCGTGGTTGTTGGTCATTTTAACGGATTTGTTCAACAAGCCCCCGTTCTAGAACCTATACCACAGACAAACAGACATAACTCTCGCAAATTGTTCATCGAACAAGCATTTAACGGACAATTTAAAAGTATCGTAGTTGGTAGTACCGCCACTTGTGGCGCGCATAGTCAATTCTCTTGCGTTTGACGTTTACACACTACCGCCATCTGTTCAGCGTACTACCCACCACAGTGTTCGCAACAGATGGCGGTAATGTTTTAGCGACGATGTTTTACATTGATAAATATTCAGTGTGTTATGTCTGTTTGTCTGTGCCTATACTGCACCGGACTAATTAGTGCTAACTAGTAATTCGATGGTGGTGGTCCACAAGTGCGATGCGGCGATGCGGCTGAACTTGATTAACTCGGTACCATGTCCGGTAGTGAACCGGATTCTAACTCGAGCGGTTTTGTACGACGCAGGGATCAGAACAATTTATAAATAAATATCCTTATTTATTTCTATGCTGATAGGTACCTAGTACCAAGAAAATAAAATATTTTTTTGTTATTTTAGCAGCATTTTTGATTTGCATTAAAAAACAAAGCAAATGAAACTGACAGTTATGAATCGAATAAATACATTCACTTTATTCTATCTATGCGTAAACCATTTTTTACTAAGTTCGTATTCTCTCACTTTATACCAAGCTATGCGTCGGTCAGGAGAGTTGCGATTTAGCGTAACTTTTAATCTATTTATATTTGAAAATCTTTTGAGTGTAGTCAAATCGACCTACACAGTAAGAAAAAAGTACCCAAGTTCACTTTTACTTAAGGGCCACCCCTATAGGGGAAGTAAAACTTGATCTGAAGTAATATTTGATGTAAAGATTGCTCAAATTGGTAGATATTATAATTTTTAGTATAAATATTAATGATATTAACTGTCAAGCGGAAAGCTTCAAAGTAAAAAAAATAACAGTGTAACTTTAACGTATACACTCAATGACGTTCCACCGTTGTTGTTTATGTTTGCTGCAGCTTTCTGTTTGTCTTAATTTTTGCCTAGATTTTCGTTTTCGATAGCTCTGATCGATTTCGTCTTCGGCTATTCATGATAAAAACGGTACTGGACGTTCCCCCAGCAACAAATCTCTTCAAGTTGCATTCTAATGGCGAATCGAGCGTAATACGACCACGGGACCATCACTATGGGCTTCCGTTAACAGGGGCGGCATTGTTAATCGATTCCCGTTTGAAAGCTAATCGATTCACCCCTCGAAACATAGGAAAAACGAATAGCCCCTCATTTCATCTGTCAAACTTTCATAGCGAATCAAAACAAACATTGCGTAGTACTAGAATTTCGACTAGAATGGGATACGTTAATCGTTTGCTTGGGACCAATAGGCTAGTCAAGTAGTGTTAGTTTCGTATTGATTGTTGGTACGACTGCGCCCATTGATTTAACCGAGGGGGACGACTCTATCTACGATGCGAAGAAAAAGATTTTGTTTTAGTGTGGTTAGCTGCGCGCACGCTGAGTAGATAGAAAGAAAATGTATGACGATCCTGATGATTTCCTGCAAAAAGATGATGTGCGATGCAAGTAGATGCGAGAAAGATTTTTAGTAGATTGGTTTGCTTGTGTAAGATTTTTCGAGCATCTAGAATTGAGATTTAGATGTGACGCCCCCCTCGGATTTAACACACGGCGGCTCTTTATCCAGGATTCGCCCCTCAAGCCGCTGCCATAAAATACTTTCTAAGCTACACACCTGTGTATAATTCTCATGGTCGGGGTTGCAGCGCGCTTATGAGCGGCGCGCTCCGACTGTCACCAAATGAGAATTTAACATAAGCGCGATAATAATATCTATTGAGATTTTCACGTTCGGTTATATTGGCACCGACAAACCGACATGACACCCGACCCCCTTCACTCGTTGGAATACACAGAAAAAAAAGTTGTTGAATATTACATCCAAACTGCTGCAACCAGGTCAATCCATCGGTTGTGTAATATAACGTTTTACGATGTACATCGATTTTGAGAACAAAATTACATCGATTGATGTAATATTGTATCTGTTTTTTGTTACATCATAATTATATCATACATCAGCTTGAATTACATTGATCGACATTACATTTTTTTTGTTTGCTGTTATCCAAAAGGTTTGTGACGAGACAAAGTTGAACTGCAGCGTTGGATGAAAACACGCACACCAACCTCTATGCATGCACGAACTCACACCACTACGTCTGACGGTACAGCGCAAATCAAAACACTAAGCGGTCTCATCATTCATCGTCATCAGTCAGCTTCGGCAGCTTCCGTTTGCGTTTTCATTTACCGGCGTTTAAAAATACGCCGGTAAATGAAAACGCAAACTTACGTTAAAAATAGGAAAGTAATTCTTACGTTAAAAATAGGAAAGTAATAATTATTCCAACGTAATTGTGAATAGAATACGTGATGTGTTGGCCATGGAAGACGGCATATTTATTTCATTACGTTTGTTTAGCAATGGTTTCAGTCGCGCACGGAACCCCTTTGGATAAGGTTGTGTTTGTTCTCTGTTTTGTGCGTGCGTTCGCCTTCATAGTTTTCGGCTGCATTTGCCGGATTAGCGCTGGCACTCTGCCTCCCGGACGGTTATACGTGTGTGAGTGGTAGTTTTCTCGCTTTCCGAGAAGTTTTAGAATCGAGAAAGAAAACATGATTCATGATGTTTGCAAAATAACAAGCATCAGAAGGTGTGGCGCTGCGTGGTTTGATTGTTTCTCCCAGACCAGAAATGTGTGGCATCGCGAGTGAAAATTTTAATTTCAGTTTATGTATGCGCTGCAAGGTGCGTGTAAAGCTTGGCACGATTGGTGTTGATGTTGGTACACTTGCAACTATTTTAGCAAAAAATAAAAAAAAAATCAAAAGAAATTGATATCGAAAGTGTACCAAAAGTGCTTCTGAACGTGTTTCGCAGTTGGATGTGGTGAAATTCGTGGTTGTTTTCAGTGAAAATTCCGTATCACAAATTTGCTCACCGAGTTCCCTTTTTTTGCCGTTCGACGACATCGGGAATGCGCTCCCGGATATATTGATTTGGTGAGTACGTTCCAGTTGAGGATTGTTCTTGTACATTTCTCGATTGCATTTTCGAGGGGACGTGTCTGCTTTTGTGGGCAGTGCGTTTGATGGTCGGTTTGGTAGTATCCTTTTAAATATAATGTCTCATGTCCAAAGAACCTCGATTTTCGGTCTATTGATTCAATACTTTAGTATTATATTTTCAAAACATACAATGATGCATTATGTCATTTCACGGCACATAAAACAAAAAGTGTGTGTATAGGACCCAATAATCTAGGTTGTTTGTAATTTGTTTAACATCTTTATTTTTTATTATATTTTTCATTTTACTACAGATTTTATATACATTATATATTACATGATTATATATAAATTCATAATGTAAATTACAATAAATACTGGGACGGGAGGGAGCATCAGGGCATCAAGTTGTAACTGGACAATGGAGTGGAGTGCCAACCGGAGTCTAGGAGGGAATGTGTACTGTCATTTTAGATAGTTACATTTCACTCCAACAGTTGCAATGAATTTGACGCGCTCTTCTTTAACAAACCATCCCGTGGAAAGCTTAACATGTATTGCGAATTTCGTTATTCATTTTGTTGGATCATATTGTTGGAAGGAGATTCTCTTATTCCCGCGGGTTTCGCGTAAGTGCCTCTGCTTACGGGCCCGTCCAACCCTTTTTGGCCCTTCATACAGCAGTATGTTGAATTCAGAATGATGACGGAATTTGATCTTGCTGTTGAGTGGAGCCGCATGCAGGGCAAGACCCAAGCTAGGATGGTGGCTACTTACATACATACATACATACGTTTGTTTAGCAATGGTTTCGATACGTTGCATTTCCAGTGGCTGGTGTGTTGGAATAATTGTTAAGGGAGAGGGAATGTTTCTCCATGTTTACTCCCGAAAAAAAATAACGACAACAATACATTAAAAAAACAATGTAACAGTAAGACGAAAATTATTTTCTTAACAATGATTTATATTGTTACGTCTACAATAAATTTACCTTGATTTTTGTTGTACTAAACAGTAAATTTCATGGTAAATGGAAAATTTACAATAAAAAAGGGGGGTTGTTAAGTATCTTAACAATGAAATTTTCGAGATTTCCCCATATATATATTTTTTTTCAATAACATTATATATTATTGTTATTTTCTGTTGGTTGGCGAATTTATTGATTAAAAATAATAACAGTGTACTTTAGAGTGTATGTGTTGGCTTGACAGATCTACTTTATCGACTTTAAAAATAAATCGAAAAAATAAAACATCGCCCCGGGAAGGGAAGGGAGTGGTATGTATGTTACGGGTGCGTCTTTTTTTTTACTGGTTATGGATTGAGATTCGATCCGGAACTTGTGAAAAATGCAGGCCAACTCCCCTGCACTCCATCTCTCTAGGTCGTCTCCTTGGTGGTTGAGCGTCGTTGATAAGTTAATGCATTCGACTGGAGAGAATCGCGCATGAAATATGCTTCAACCTGTGAGTTTCTTCCTGACATCTTCAAGTGGTGGATTTTTTTTTATTATTATTGTATGATTCCGTGTATTCCGTGCAGTCACGGAAAAGGTCTGCATTAAGCGGGATTTAGATTAGGCAGGTGATTTGAATTCAACTCAAACCGATCTGGTCGTAGGCGTTCAATTGACGAATAGAGTAAGTCCGATATCGGTCAGATTTCTGGACGTTCATTTCGGTGTGTTGCTGACCCTCTCATAGTCTGCATGCTTTAATCAGAGTTATTTTTATTGTTCGTGAAGTACCCCACAATGAAAACACACCAATATTTTATGTAACAACAATTGTCAAATCATGTTAACAATAAAATAAATGAAAAATACGATAAAAATCATTGTAACAACATTTTACTATGTACATTCATTGTACAGTTAGGTAGCAGTTTTGCCGTTTTCGGAAGGGTACAACATCATAACAATAATTTTTATTGTCGACAATAAATATTAAACTAAACGATCGATTCAACCTCTGGTGGTGAATAGGAGAACGTCAAAAAGAGTGTTGTGAGCATAAATGTTTGCCTTGAGACATAGGAAGCGGAACACTTTTTGACTTTTCCTGATAAATTGATTCATCAGAAATGCTGCAAAACTTAATCTACAGTTGAAAAATTTTATTCTGTAACGTTTTTGAAAAGATCCTGCTGGTGTTCAGGAATATTTTTGTTGAGAAAAATGGAAAATTAGAAAAGTGCCTTAGTGGTTATGATCTTCCAGATTTCTTGTGTGTGAATAGTTAAGGTGCAAATCAGTTCAGATTTGTGGAAAATCGTACAATACGACAATTACCGATAGAAATTGGCAAGATTTTGAATGAAAAATGCTGTTATTTGCGTTGGGGAAAATACTTATTCTGATGTAAACAAACGGTTTGGTTGACGTTTCTTCTCGAACTCACGTGGCGCACTCTACGTTGGTGGTGCATTAAAAAGGCGTATGTTAATGTTAGAGCATTGTTTCCACTGTAATTTGTTTTTCGGGCTTCTACGCTTACAAACATTATTTTGAGCAACAGCTTTGCAAATCATCAATTACTATTATAGATTTACATCTTACTGATACCGATGAAGATATTGGAAACTCTTTCACTGGAAAGCAAAACTTATTACACGCCAATCATGATGCGAGCTTGGAAGTGCGATTGTTTTCTCAAGTGCATCTGTTGCGTATAAATTGGTAATGATTGAAAGTCGGAGCAATCACAAAAAAAGTGACAATCTTGCTATCACAATATGATGATATGATGATGACATCGAGGATGATATAGTCATCTTCCCTCGTCTGATCATCAACGTCTGCGTTAGCATCTGTCATGCTGACACCTGTCAGTTATTGAGCGCTGATGGTGGAGTTGGTGGGGGACTCTTAACAGTTTCAATGTGCACTCACCAGATGGCACAGCGATCACATTGCCTTGTTCGAGGAATTGAGTAGAGGTATATCTCTTTAATTAAATATCTTTGGTGACACTTAACTCTGACTTATGCCCGAAAAGCTGAAATGGCCGATTTAAATGTGCAGTGATCCGAACTGTCAAAACCATAGGATTTATTGATCTAGCTCAAAATAATTTGTCCAGAATAGATCAGACACGAACCAATTCAAAACTTTTGCATCCGGGTTCATGGCATAGCTCAATATTTCCCGCAAACACATATACCTATAGGTCGATTTGTTTATTTTTTCAGTCACAAAATCAGCTGTCAAAGTGTTTGACGTGACAACGGTTGTTTTTTTTTCAACCATTAAAATGCATGTATTTGTGAAACTGCTCACTAATACCACAAACGAAGTGACAGACGGAGCGGCTCGAAAACTTTGGTGACTAACTTTCTATTGCAATTTTTCAGTGTACCACATAGCAACACCACTACTACTGGATTGTACCATAGAGGTAACTCTAAGACCACTGGGTCCCGAAGAAAATCATTATTATTTTTGGCTCACTCAGTACCAGAACAACGGTCCCAAGCAGTCCCAAGCTATTTCACTCACCCCTGCATGTTCTGCATGAATCCACACACCCCTGATGTTATCTGTCAAACTTTCATAGCGAATCAAAACAAACATAGTGTAGTAATAGAATTTCAACTAGAATAGGGTACGTTAATCGTTTGCTTGGGACCAATAGGCTACTAAAGTGGTGAGCCAATTTAAAATCGTTAGTTTCGTATTGATTGTTGATTGTACCATAGAGGTAACTCTAAGACCACTGGGTCCCGAAGAAAATCATTATTATTTTTGGCTCACTCAGTACCAGAACAACGGTCCCAAGCAGTCCCAAGCTATTTCACTCACCCCTGCATGTTCTGCATGAATCCACACACCCCTGATGTTATCTGTCAAACTTTCATAGCGAATCAAAACAAACATAGTGTAGTAATAGAATTTCAACTAGAATAGGGTACGTTAATCGTTTGCTTGGGACCAATAGGCAACTAAAGTGGTGAGCCAATTTAAAATCGTTAGTTTCGTATTGATTGTTGATTGTACCATAGAGGTAACTCTAAGACCAGAAGGTCCCGAAAAAACGAGCTCAACTTTTTGGCTCAGCTCTGGTACTCTCTTCGGTCCCAAGCTAATCGATGCACCCCTCGAATCATGGGAAAATCCACGAACCCCTAATTTTATCTGTCAAAGTTTCATAGAGAATCAAAACAAACATAATGTAGTACTAGAATTCCGACTAGAATGGGATACGTTAATCGTTTGCTTGGGACCAATAGGTTAGTCAAGTAGTGAGCCAATTTCAAATCGATAGTTTCGTATTGATTGTTGATTGTACCACATGGCTACAAATGTACTAGAATGTTTTGGTTCTATCTCTTTCACTCTACTCAAAACTGAAATGCATAAAAAAATGACAAAATGATACACTTTTTGCACACTGCCAAAGAATCATTGTACACAAAATCAACTTTGTGCTAAACCAAAACAAAAATACTATCCCATCTGGTGGATGATGGCACAAGCTTCTAAGAAAATTCTATTACAGCGAACCACATTATTTTAATTGATTTCTTCGCCAGTTAGTCGTCTGTCACTTCGTGTGTGCTAATACTAACGGTGAAAGAGTACTCTATTGCTAACATAAAAAATGTATGAAATTCTCGATGAAATTAGATCTTTCAAAATAAGTTTGACAGTGATTTGTTATGTATTTTCCTCGGATTTTCTCTAGCGCGCTCTCACAATGTGATGTAAAGAGCAACCGTAACGGAACGCTGCTAAACTCATTTTTGCAGCCCTCATCATAGCGCAACTACCGTATCGGGGGTTGCCATACGAGTAACTAAAATAGCAGCCGGCTTCTCGGTGAGAAGCGCGTTACCAAATTTAGCAGCGCGATAGCAGCATAGAGGTAACTCTAAGACCACTGGGTCCCGAAGAAAATCATTATTATTTTTGGCTCACTCAGTACCAGAACAACGGCCCAAAGCAGTCCCAAGCTATTTCACTCACCCTGCATGTTCTGCATGAATCCACACACCCCTGATGTTATCTGTCAAACTTTCATAGCGAATCAAAACAAACATAGTGTAGTAATAGAATTTCAACTAGAATAGGGTACGTTAATCGTTTGCTTGGGACCAATAGGCTACTAAAGTGGTGAGCCAATTTAAAATCGTTAGTTTCGTATTGATTGTTGATAGCAGCGCGGGAGAAAGGTTTCTATTCGTAGAATTGTCAAAATGCTCACTACCGGTACGGACTACGGCGAGTAAATTGATAACTGCGATAGCAGCGACCGGTGTGGAGAACCCTAATAAAAAATAACCATAAACGTACGATAACCCAAATCATTGAACTATTCCACAAATGGTTTGGATGATACCCAGAACACGTCGTTAAGCAAATTAACCATACAATTTTTATTAGGGAAGAGTGACTAAACTAAAATGAGAGCGCTGTGCGCTGTTAAAAATAGTCGCGCAAATGACAACGACCGTTAAGGCCCACGCACATTAGATCCGGATCGGACGCGTTGCGGCAAAGTGACAGCTAAATCTATTATCTAACTGTCAAATTTACGTCAACGCAACGCAAACGGATCTAATGTGGGTGGCCCTTTACGGTTGCTCTTATCGCACCAATATAACCGGACGTGAAAATATCATGTTTTTTTAGCAGCCCCCTCGGTTGTTGAAATATTTCATACAACAAAGCGGCGGCGCTTCGCGAACCGAATCCAATGCTGCCAACCTTATCGCACCCAATTACCAAATTCATTCTTTTCCGGTGTAAGAGGTGTCAAAATTCGTGAAATTTTTGCTACTGGTACTGTCTAGCAGATTTTCCTGTGAAATAGCCTCCGAACCGTGCTAGAATGGCCAAAAAGAAAGGCGAGAACTACGATAGCGATGGGGCTGACGATCAAGACTTCGATGAGGAGCCCAACTTCGACGATCCGGAGGGTTTTGTTGACGATGTCGCCGATGACGGTAAGTTGCCTTTCCATACGTGCTACGGTTGTTTCTTCTTTCTCTTATTAGCGGCTTGTCATCTTACAAGCGCAAGAAAGTGGGAACGCAAGCGAAGGTGTCCACGTATTAGGAGCATGTCAAACTAATGTTTCCGTGTTATTTCAGAGCTACTTGGTGATTTTCTGAAGCAAAAACCTTGCGAATCCGACGGTGTCGAGAATGTTATTGTCGTGGATAATATTCCAGTAGTGGGACCGGCTCGCTTTCCCAAACTTCAAGGAGTATTGGAGAAGTTGTTCAAGAATGCCGGTTCGATCGTAAACTTCTACTATCCCAAGGATGAGGAAGAAAACACCAGGGGTTATGCCTTCGTAGAATTCAAAAATCCGGAGATGGCCGAAGAAGCCGTCAAAACGTTCAACAACTATCGAATGGATAAGTCGCATACGTTGCTGGTGAATCTGTTTTCGGATTTCCAGAAATACTCGGACATTCCCAAGGATTGGAGCCCTCCGGAACCGCAACCGTACAAGATGCAAAATGATCTCTACAATTTCATGACCGAGCCGGATGCGCAAGATCAATTCTGTGTAATAGCTGAATCATCCCCGGGTGCCGTACAGGTTCAATTTTGGCACAACACTCAACCGGAGCCGGTGGAACTATTGACTCGTGAGGTAATAATGATATATTAGATACTTTTATAAGCTTGGTTAAAAATATATCTCTTCTATTTTTAGCGATTTACCGAAACCTATGTCAAGTGGTCTCCACTAGGAACGTACATTGTGACGTTCCACAAGCAGGGTGTTGTCATTTGGGGTGGTTCTAACTTTATTAAGATCAATAAGTTTGCCCATCCCGGAACCCAGTACGTGGACTTCTCTCCATGCGAACAGTATTTGGTTACGTATGGTCCAAATGGCCAAAAGATTATTATCTGGGACATTCGTACCGGAACAGAAAAGCGTTCGTTTTCCTCGGATGGCTCTTCCAACATGTCGATGTTCCGTTGGTCCCACGACGATAAGTATGTGGCTCGAATGGGTGATAACGCTGTTCACGTTTATGAAACGTCTACTTTCTACCTACTGGATAAGAAGTCGATTAAGGTTCAAGGCATCCGCAACTTTAGCTGGTCTCCGACTGATAATATTATTGCCTACTGGATGTCGGAAGATCTTGATGCTCCGGCTCGTGTGACGCTGATGGAAATTCCTAGGAAAACGGAAATTCGTAATAAGAACTTGTTCAACGTAGCTGATTGTAAGATTCATTGGCAAAAGTCCGGAGATTACCTGTGTGTAAAGGTCGATCGTTATTCGAAATCCAAAAAGGACAAGAAGGATGCCGACGTGAAGTTCCTGGGTATGTTCTACAACTTTGAAATTTTCCATATGCGAGAGAAGGATATTCCCGTGGACTCGGTAGAGGTGAAGGAAACTATTCTGGCTTTTGCATGGGAACCTGTGGGTTCTAAATTTGCCATCATTCACGGTGAGCCAGCTAACGCTAATGTGAGCTTCTATGAGGCTAAAAGGGGACAGGAACCTACGATGCTGAAGAAGATGGACAAGAAAATTTGCAGTCACCTGTTTTGGTCCCCGCGGGGGCAGTTTATTGTATTGGCGAACCTCCAGATGGGATCGTTTGAGTTCGTTGATACCAACGACTTTACCATTATGAAAAGTGGTGATCATTATCGCGCCTCTGAGGTTGAATGGGACCCTACTGGACGATACGTGGTGACCGGAACGTCCGGAAAGGTTAGTTAGCTTATCTTATTTAATTTCAGCGATACCGGAGAGTCCATTAGAGATTATCAAATATAACCATCTTGATTTTCCCTTAGTTTACCTCCGAGATTAAAACTGTCCTTTGAAATTCGTTTGCGGTTGGTACTCTTTTACCACTACAATTATTTTTGAGGGTCATACATGTTTCTAAGGCCATTTTGGCAGTTTTTCAGAAAAATTTACTACCAGATCTAAACACATGAATGTTTTTTTTTCAGGTCAAGGAAGATCACGGCTACTACATTTGGTCCTTCCAAGGTCGAATATTGAAGCGCGTCAATCTGAAGAATTTCATTCTATTCCTATGGCGTCCGCGACCACCTACCCTGCTTGTTGATGAGAAGCAGAAGGAAATACGCAAGAACCTAAAGAAGTACTACGCACAATTTGAGAGCAAGGATCGTGTCCGTATGACTCGTGCCTCCAAGGAACTGTTGGAGAAGCGTGCCAAGCTGCGCGAGCAGTTCGTGGAATTCCGTACCAAGCGTGTAAGCGAATGGGAGGAGCAAAAGTATCGTCGTATGCAATTGCGAAACAGTAAGTTAAATATTCCGGTACAATATTGCAAGGTTTACATAACGCGTTCGTTTTTTTTTCACAGATGTCGATACTGATACGCTGGAGGCTGATCCAGAAAATGTTGAAGAAGAAATTGTAGAAATTCTAGTACGTGAAGACACCACCCTCCTCGAGTAGTTCGTATAAGGCAACTCGTTTGACTACCAAGTGTTATCTCATCATTAACGAGATAAACTGAAAGACACTAAAAGAGATCAGAAGCGTTTCATGATAAGCTTATAATCGTAGCATAACAAGGGAGAGATAAGTGCACCTCAAATCGTGACCGTATCCTCTCTTGCCAAAACAACAAAAATCAACTGTGCAGGACTTAACATCGCCTCCATCTAGTTAATACAACAACAACTGCGACAGACTTATTGAGCACAGTATATATAATATCGGACAAAAGTGTTTTCCAGAAAGAAATTTCCAGCGAGTTAAAGATAATAGCCATCCACTCAACAGGACATCCCGGAAGGCAGTGTGTGAAGTTAGCAATAGCAACTATAGTTTGAACGCATATTTCGTGGAATATACACTTATTTGCAAGAACGATCTTGATTTGTAAGTTGTATTTTAATGTGGAACATGGAGAATATACTTTTCAATATAGCTTATAATAAATGTCACTTATTAGCATATTACAAACGCGTCTGGTAGTTCACAACTTGCCTTCATGAATTTACTGGATTCCTTTCATTTTCGTTTGTCTGACCAAAATCACTCTTGAAAACGGTAAATAAATGAAAAATCAAGAGTTCAGAATCATAAAAGCAGCGATGATCGATTTTCACTTTGAATTATTACAGTTCAATGAACCAAAAATCGATCACTGCAGATATCCGCTCATCATTCTGAACGCTTAAAATAGTATATATTCGGCATCAACATTTCAAAAGGGCGAAACTAACAATGATGTCAAGCTGTGAAAAACGGATTTATTTTAAATCAGTGCTGGTCCGGACAACAGTGCAGGTCTATTATTTGCACCGTTCAACTTGAGTTGACCCTTGTAAATCAGTTCATAGAAGTTTAGATTTCTATTTTGTGTTTTTAGTGTTAAAAATCCTCAAAATTATATTTTGCCCTTTATATTCATCAATTTTGATTACGCCCTTTTGTTTTACAAGCTGTCAATTTGGCCTCACTGTGAGCGCCTTTTTTTTTCGGTTTTCAATTGCGTCCTTTTGCAGAAATTTTATATTTTGGATTTCTTTCGTTTTCTTTAATTTAATTAAATGCAACATTTGAATGGTTGTGAAAACAAAAAAAAAAAGAAATCACTGCCATCAAAGTTTTAATTGTATCTCCAAGTGGTAATGAACGCGCAAAAATTATAGAAACTGAACATGCTAGATCAAACGGAGGCCACTTGTCTGCGGGTACTTTTCAGTAATAAATTGCTTCTTCTTGCTCGGTTTTATCTTTGTTTCATCTATCAAAAATCAGCTGGACCTATTGTTCGTCGATAGCAGCGAATTGACCCAGCAGCTACTCGTTTTCCGTTTGCGACGATTGATGGACACGATTAATGATCTTTAATTTGGAACCGCGAAAATAACATAACTGAATCGGGTTCTGGGGTTTCCAATCTTAAGCTAATTTTAGTTGTGGGCAATCTTGTAATATTCATTTTAGAATAATGCATTTTAGCAACTACAACTAGAAATGCGTTGGTGCAGTACTCTGGGAGATTTTTTTTTCACCTTTATAAACGCTATGGCTACGAGGCTATGTTATATATAAAAAACACTAAAATATTCGCATGAAAACCATCAAAAATACGGAAATTAAAAAATTAGGCCACAATTCAAACCTGGATGCAGTTTCGCCCTCGCTGGTGGCAAACAAACCGAGGGGCGAAATTAACTTCACTATAGTAAACTACAAAAATCAGTTACGCCTTTTTGTAGATATTAATTTAGAGTTACTAAAAATGTTTTTTTTGTGAAATTTTATTAAATTGTTCATAGTATTGGATCACTTGCTGTCCATTTCTATAAAAAAATGAAGGGTCTGTGCCTAGGGGCACGAATGAAAGCTTGACGTAGGACCGCTAGTGGACGAAATAAATGTGAAGAGCGAGATCAATTATCTGTTATCTGCTATTGCTGTTCACCACGCCGTCCGAAGCGAAAATGAGTTAAAGCCATACAGCAGCTCTATTTTATGTCTTTTCAGGTTAAAGCAGAATGATGTGCAACCAAGTTGTATAAAAGCTACAAAGACTCCTTCCATTATGAGTTGTTTGCTATCAAGTAGCGACACTGCCCTAATAAAAATTGTATGGTTAATTTGCTTAACGACGTGTTCTGGGTATCATCCAAACCATTTGTGGAATAGTTCAATGATTTGGGTTATCGTTCGTGTATGGTTATTTTTTATTAGGGTGGCTCTTTTCCTTTTGCGTACACGACGAATGAGAACCACACAAATTAGAGTTTAGTTCTCTCATAATCGCCAAATGTGCAGGCACTCAGCGATGAGTAAATTTGTCTCATGGTTTCCTTTGGAAAACCTAAAAAATCTGCCAGAAAATGAGGATATTGACGAAAATTTTATTCAGTCTCGGGGGAGTACCAATAGACTGAGTGAATCCAATCTTTACTTTTCTCAAATTCTGGATTTTTTCCCTGGAAAATCCTGGAAAAACCAGGGAAAGCATGAGGCAAATTTACTCATCGCTGAGTTCCTGCATTTTATTTCTTATTTCTGAGATAACTAAACTCAAATTTGGGTCGATCTCATTCGCCGTGATATCACCTTGAAAGATATCGGCGTCGGTGGTTAGCGTGATTACCTCTCACCCCTCTCAGTCGGCGCCACTGGCATGTTCTAAGGCATCCTTCGGGAAGTAAAGCCGTTGGTTCCCGGTTGAGTTGATGGGTCGATTGGTAGGGTCCAGATGTGGGAGCTGCCTCCCTGGCGTCGGTAGCATTGGAGCTTAGTACGGAAAACATATCTCGCGTCACTTTTCAATAGGTCCTATCTACATTGATCGATTCTCTTTTTTGCCCTTGATTTATTTTCCCGTCGATCTTGTTTTCCGTTGGTGATGATTTAACCTCCGAAACCAAACAGAGTGCGTCTCTGTCACTTCAAAACGTAGATGACATCCATGGCCGCTTACGCTTGGCGTGTTTAGTGTAGGTGACAGCATCACGGATCTCATTCTTCAGGAACACCTTCAGCACACCTCGTAGATCAGACCGGAGACACGTCAGACACCGCCCCGGCGAGCCAGACGACGGATGGTGGTTATCTCGAAGAATTTGCGTTTGGTTCTGAATATGGCGATGAGTGTGCAAAATATTACGCAATTCCATCCTCCCTATTCGCACGCACGAGGATCGGAGGCGAATGCCACTTTGACTTGTTTCGTCTACTTACTACTCTCTGACGACTGTGCTGGGGAAGCAGCATATGCATGTACACACTTAGATTTTTTTGCCGAGATGGGCACCACCGAGCAGCTCGGCATTTTATTTTGCTGGAAATTCAGCAAAAAATATGTTTGTTAGCTGAGATCTCGGCAAAATTCCCGTTTGTTAGCTGAATCTCGGCAAGTTTTTCACTGAGAACCAGCAAAATAAAATGCCGAGCTGCCGAGGTTAGCCAGAGGAAAATAATAAACAACTTTACACGGTGGTGCTCCCGCTAGTGTGCGTGCGTTAAACGTCACTAATCTCTATAGTCGCTATATTCATAGTCTGGCGGATAGAATTTAGATCTATCAAAAAGCGGAACCAATTGAAAAGGTTCTATCAACTTTTATAAACCAAACGTTGATTATTCTTTCTTCGACAATCGAACGCAAATTACCGGCATCATCGGATAGGGGAATCTTTCCCTAACCCAAATATGGTGTTAGTTTGCGTAGGCAAGCCTTGAATCACGAGAAAACGGTTTCCGTGGTCGTGATTGGTTCCGCTATTTGACAGCTCAATTGGTTCCCAAAATTCCATCCGCCAGAGTATGAATATAGCGACTATAGCTTGCTGGTGTTAGAAGCAAACATATTGTGTACATTGCTGAGCACTCAAGTAACGACGTCACTCTACCATTAGCATTCCATACTGCAAACAGTGATACCATAGAGGTAACTCTAAGACCACTGGATCCCGAAGAAAATCATTATTATTTTTGGCTCACTCAGTACCAGAACAACGGTCCCAAGCAGTCCCAAGCTATTTCACTCACCCCTGCATGTTCTGCATGAATCCACACACCCCTGATGTTATCTGTCAAACTTTCATAGCGAATCAAAACAAACATAGTGTAGTAATAGAATTTCAACTAGAATAGGGTACGTTAATCGTTTGCTTGGGACCAACACGCTACTAAACTCGCTACTAAAGTGGTGAACCAATTTAAAATCGTTAGTTTCGTATTGATTGTTGGTGATACCATAGAGGTAACTCTAAGACTAGAAGGTCCCGAAGAAACGTGCTCAACTTTTTGGCTCAGCTCTGGTACTCTCTTCGGTCCCAAGCTAATCGATTCACCCCTCGAAACATAAGAAAATCCACGAACCCCTCATTTTATCTGTCAAACTTTCATAGCGAATCAAAACAAACATTGTGTAGTACTAGAATTTCGACTAGAATGGGGTACGTTAATCGTTTGCTTGGGACCAATAGGCTAGTCAAGTAGTGAGCCAATTTAAAATCGTTAGTTTCGTATTGATTGTTGGTGATACCAACAATCAATACGAAACTAACGATTTTAAATTGGCTCACCACTTTAGTAGCCTATTGGTCCCAAGCAAACGATTAACGTACCCTATTCTATTTGAAATTCTATTACTACACTATGTTTGTTTTGATTCGCTATGAAAGTTTGACAGATAACATCAGGAGTGTGTGGATTCATGCAGAACATGCAGGGGTGAGTGAAATAGCTTGGGACTGCTTGGGACCGTTGTTCTGGTACTGAGTGAGCCAAAAATAATAATGATTTTCTTCGGGACCCAGTAGTCTTAGAGTTACCTCTATGGTGATACTGCGTTTAGAACGGAATTCAAGCTGAACATTGCATTAGGTCCTAAGTAACATCGATCTATTCTCTTCGTCGATTTTCTCTTTCGTCAATAACTTGAGCACTTGAGCAAGTCTTAGTTTCTGTATATCCACAGACAAACAGACATATCACTCGCAAGTTGTTCATCGAACCAGCATTTAACGGTCAATTAAAAAGTATCGTAGTTGGTAGTACCGCCACCTGTGTCAATTCCCTTGCGTTTGACGTTTACACACTACCACCATCTGTTCAGCGTAGTGCCCACCACGGTGTACTCAACAGATGGTGGTAATGTTTTAGCGACGATATTTTACAGTGAGAAATATTCCATGTGTTATGTCTGTTTGTCTGTGGTATTGTAGTAGCCGTACTCTTCCTTAATTCCCATGTAAAGTAGCATCCAATAATGGGCACATGGCTAACATGTGTCAAAACCCAACAATATAGATTCATACTTCCTTGTGTGTGTCCTAGATTTTATGACACACTTTATGTATTCAAAACTGCGACCTCATAGTCAGCAGCTAAACCTTTTCCGTTTTCCGTATTTTGAGACCTTCGTAATTGTTACCACATGAGCATCAACAATAAACTCTATTTTACAAACATTGTCACCAACGCTTCGCTTC